TGATCTGTTTGAAGAGGAAAGAACAATATTCATGTACTAATAGAAACTTTTATTTTTGGAACTGATAATTACCATATATCCCCCAATAATTTATCTACTTAACGTTATTTAGATTTGATCATTTCAGTTTGTTGAACGATTGTTGATTAAATAACTAGATGGTAACATTTATTTCGATATTAACTCACATTTACATTTAAAACTTAATGCAGAACTTTCTTTTATCCAAGAACAAGCATTTCAATTAACCTCCACAGTGATTACTGATTCTAAAGATCTTTAATTTAGCACTGACGGAAAGTACTAAAATTCATCTCGCGGACACGTTCATTAGTACTAGTGAGATCAACAAGTCATAACATCCTTAAACAATTCGTTCGGTTCAGTGAATCTGTAGTGGCATTGGGCCCTAATACGAGAAAGGGTGGGAAACAGACATTCAATATTTAACACAGAGAAAAACCTAACGATGGAGAATGCGGAAAGAATTAATCGAATTAATTGGAGTTGATCGTATGGCATGGCTCAGTCACGCAGGCGTGGTCCCTGCTGAACGTTACCTTATATCTTTCATTCATAGTAAATATAATGTTCTATTTCTAGCCTAAGTTTGTTCTCTATTGTGTATTGGTAATTGTTACGATGTAGTGAGTTGGTGTAGACTATGATGTGACTTCCACGTAAGATCTTATAGATTAGGCAGTTATATCATGACAAATCTACAATTACAGGATCAGGTCTGTTATTAGAGCAGTACTAACATCATAGTAGACCATAATTCTTAAAATCTCTACCAGCCACATAAATTATGCTTTGGGTCACACCCAAAAACAACCACTATTCTGATCTTGTGTTTGTTGGTGTTTGTACGGAATAATGATTCCTTTGTACTTGTTGAATGCTTGGGTTTGAATTTCAGATACAATACATTCGTTTGTGCTTATCGAGTACTTCTTGATTAAATTACGTTATTCATGGTATTCATAATTTGTACTTTAATCCAAATACTTCTAATTATCACATTTTGTACGAACTAATGATTTTTCTGTACTAGATTGCCTGCTCGTTACGAAATTCATATACATTACGTTCGTTTGTGATTATCTAGTTCTATCTGGCTTAAACTGCACTATTTAGGGAATTTCTAGTTAGTACGTTAATTCGATTAGTGCTGATCATCATACTGGCATCACGGTGGAGCCTATGATTGAACAGTGAGATATACTTTCAAATTGGTAGGTTTTTGAGGATTGCATACAAAGATTTTAAATCTGGACTATGACTAGGAAAGATGTTAGGGACAATGAAACTGTGGCTCATTTATTCACATTCATCGCAAAGGATGCCTACAGCCTACTAGAAACTTTGGCATTCCCAGAAAAGTTTATTTCAGCTCCCTGTACAACTCCCAAGGAACTACTATTAAATCAAGTAAAGTATGCTAGTTTCGAATGCCGTGAGAAAGTAAAATTTCATAAACTGATTCGCCAAGACAACCCAAAGGCTCGAGAATTTATCCTTGAATTGTGTAAACAGGCTGCCAAGTGCAATTTCAGCAATTAACTTCATGTGCAGCTGCGTGATCGATTGACTGAAGGGATTAACATACCAAATCTGGAAAAAAGCCCATTCAAATTACGAAGTGTTCTTTTCGAGATGCCAATAAATACCAAGTCTGCTACTACTGCAAAATTAAAAGACCGGAAGAGGATGGTAGAGAACGTCCCTCAGCGCAGAATTATTGAATCGAACGCAAAGGAAACAATGATGACATTGCTTAAACAGAATAATCTTCGTGAAAGAATTCCTCTATAATCTATGGGAGGTCTGATGAAACAGGTCAATAAATATAAATACACAATGAACCTGGGGAGAAGTACAATTGATCACAGGAAGTTGGATTCTCACTTAAGATATGGCGGATGTGGTATTTGATTTGTCGCATGCTACGAATTCCAGATATAATAGGTTCATTTGTCCTCATCTAGTTCTACTTGCTGTAAATTGCACTATTTAGGGAATTCCTAGTCAGCACAATAATTCAGACACTCCTAATTATCATATCCGGACATCTCTCCGAAGTCACTCTCCTGTCCTTTCGGCTATTCCGCCTATGCATACTCAAATATGAAACCGATACATTTGCACATCATGCACACATCTATAAATCCTTTTGGTGTGCGTCATTCGTGTCGACCGACATAGGCCCAGTAGGTCTCTGGGGCGCACGCGTTGAACGTCCCGGATACTGGGGAAACAGGATTTGCGCAGTGCACTCTGACACGGATACAAAACACGGATATAATGAGGTGTTGGGATTGAATAAAAAATAACACTTTCATAGTCGAAATTCATTCATTTAAATGCCCTACGATCCAAGATACTGCACATTTGCCGAACATTTCAGAAAAGCCAGATTTCATCACCCACAAAATTCAGCTTTACGTTCGAAGATCATTTTAATAGCCTATAAAGATGCTAATATAGTATGCTCTAATTACTTACGGTCTATAATTCAGTCGAACATGACAATTCAAAACACTGACTTCTGTTTTGGCCATTAAGTGTTACCTATGTGCTTTTCCAAAAGGAAATACTATGATAAATGCCTGAGAGCTTGTAGCGTGGTGTCGAGTTGAGATTAACTGTGAACACCGCTACCAAGAAACACGTGCCAGATAAATCAGAAGGCGAGGATCGAACGTAACCAGATTTATTTCGTTGGCGATCTCGTGGTATTGAACGAATACCGAGATCGTGCCAAGGAATGGTACAAGCGAAAGCAGAAGACAGGAGTACGTGCGAACAGTACCAAAAACCGCGGAACAATAATGGAAGGTAATGGAAGCACAAAAAGGCTACAATTAGCACAGTTAAACAAAAGCACATTAAAACAAACACTGGTACAGTTGGTTATAATAATAATTGTTTTTATTAAACCAGTCGTGTTCTCGTGATAAACGTGAGTCACTACAAGCTATTCACAGATCTCAGTTCTTCGATGTAACAAGTAAGGACTAGGATGAACATGATTCAACCGTACAAAAACACGATAGACACAAGTCTTCAGTTAATTCACAGCCTAATCACACCCATATATTATGGTCACTATCAAACTCACTGATTAGCACTTTCGTCAGACCATTTAGGTGTACTGATCATTTTGTATTGTAACGAGAAGCGATTTCCATCTGTAATCGCGTGTATTTACAACTCCATTGAGAAGTGAGTTGCTAATGTCAATCAAAACCAATATTTTATTTGGGAACAGGCAACCTATAAATCGACAATAAGCAGTGATAACTATTGATTTGCCAATCTCATGGTCATCCTCTTTCTATGCCTTCACTTTTCCTTTGATTGTGTCTAATGATTAAGAGTACCTGGTCATCAGGATACCTGATACCTCACTGGATATTCAACAGAATATGCAGACTTCACGAGACGATATGCAAAGTAGGTAGCTGGATACCGCAACTTGAGTTTATTGTATGTTTAGTCTGGTAAATTGCTGATACATGCATGTCAATCACATTTTGATCAATCCTTTTATCCTTCTTCTTTAGGTAGCCTATTTAACCCCGAATATTACCATCTAGTATGAATTTTATTTATTCTACTGCACTGAATGAAAACCATTGGTACTAACAACGTCACCATCATTGGAACGGTCATCATCACTATCATACTAGTCATCATAGTATTAGCTAACTAACTTCTATCAAACCTACTTCAATTATGTTCCGGGATAGTTTTTGGTTGAGAAGACTTCTTCATAGGCCATTGGGTATTGAAATGACCTACAAGTCATGACGGCACCAATTTAAACTGTGACTCACGACCTTGTGGGTGACGGTGAGACTTGCCGTATTTCAAAAACGAAATAGAAGCATCCTCCGAACCGTTTCACCCTAGTTATTACTCATCTAATTAGTTATCCGTTTTCCTAGTAAATGAGTTGTCTAATTTTGGCAATACTGCTATCTGTACAAAATTACTGGCTGCTGAATACTCCAACGCCAAACTGAAATGTCGATGTAATTGAGTTTATTCATTTGTAATTCTCGAGCCAGTGTTGCCGTCTTAAGGGTTCTCGACCTTAGGTATGTGAAAAATATGAATTCACCCAGTCCCCTAACTTTGGGGAAGCTTAGGTAAAGTTGTGATTGGAGACTCCAGAATTTCCGCTGGGTTTTTTTCTTCAGCTTGCTTGATAAAAACTCGCAAGACTAAGGTGAATTTGAAGTTTTTTAAGGTTTACTCAGAATTCCCACCACTTTTGTGGAAACCCATTGAACTTCATCGACACTTCCCAACATTTCTGATTAGACCCTTCTCGAAACTTAGTCCCACGAAAGGACCATCAGGACATAAGGATTGATTTATATACACGAAAAAAACGCAGGTTGTAAGCTGGTGGGAGGAATCGATAAATCTACTGTTCAATGACTATGAAACTGATACCAAACTGATGAAACTACGAGTTGATAAAGATAATAACAATCTTCCAAATAAGTCACCATCATCTAACTAAGCCGTTACAATTTATAAATCTAGCTGTAACTCACATTCCTATTGGTGATTAAAGTTAATCTCAAATATCTTTTCCATGTGTTTTTTTTATCATCTATAATACAAACTAGTATAATCAGTAATTTATGCCCATACCTCAGTAACAACGTGTGGGAACGTTTGTACTGATAAGTGGTCCGTTCAGTTAGTAGCAACTTATGATGCAACTGTAAATGCTTATCTAAAGTTCACCATTTTTAACAAAACTAAATTTCATACTACTGGAATTCGTAAAACCTAAAACTGGGATGAACTCACCAGTTTTTTAAGTCAGTAATGGATCGCACTCCGTAGTTAGACTTCATTGCTCCCCTATCATTCAGTTTTATAGTTGCATACTACACAATGTTGATATTTTTGCTTGTCATAATGTATATAAAGTGCTTATTTCTCTTTCTTAAAGAGTTATTTTGACCTCAATCTGGAGAATGTCCTACTTTTCAAAACTGCGCAATGTACGCAATATTTTGTCTTGCACTATGCACTGTGGTCGTTATTCTAGTTCTTCCGAATCTCCAGAACAACTATCTCAAGTCCTAAATAATCATTTGTTGGAACGTATTAACACTTTCGGACCCTTAACTGTAGCTGAATACATGAAAGAATGTTTATCTAACCCACTATATGTAAATTGTAAGAATTTCTAGTTGATTAGCTTTCAGGGTTATTATAATACATACAGTGTTTTCGGAAAATCTGGAGATTTTACCACTTCACCTGAAATATGTCAAATCTTTGGTGAGGTAACCATGTTTATTTTGCTTAAAATACTCTAGTAGTTGATAGGTGTATGGTTGCTGGAAGAATGGAAAAGACAAGACAGCCCTAAACACCTACAACTCGTTGAACTTGGTCCAGGACGTGGCACACTTTGTTCTGATATACTAAGGGTTTGTTTGATGAAAATATAATAATGTTTTTACCTTGATGGGTCATAATAATGTCATTATTTATTTTTATCTAAAGACCCAGTGTATCTTGGCAGTTTAAAATAAGTTATGCAAAAGTACATATGAATGATCAACGTTGTTTGGTTGTCGGTAATCGACCTGACCCTGAAATCTGGAGAATTTCCACGAAAACTTCCTATACATCGTTACGTGGTTTATATTCAAATACTTAGAGGAAGCTTACTGCTTTTGCTCTGATTGTCTGTGGACATTCGTTCGTAGTCTAACCTAGATAATACAAGAATATGTGTTGCTATGTTTGTAACCTTGGTATTACTTAAAATTGGTCGCGGTAGCAAATAGATTCATTTTTTATTTTCTCTTGCATAGTAAGTCTAGTGATTACGTTAACCAATTTATGGTGACGGTTTAGTAGCCAAATTACTAGACTTTTAATTCACTGATTCACATATGCAAACACTTCATTCAAATATTATTATTCCTTTAGTAGTGAAAGTGATTCTCAAAGTTAAGTGTATGAACCTGTATGTGGTTTCAATAAAGGTGGCATTTACTAACAGTCTCTTACTAGTTTATAGCTATACCATTGATTAATTTAAATAACATAGGTTTGTTAGTTATTGAGGTTAAAGTATAGTATACGGACAATCCAGTCAGAATTAAAATGAACTTCGAATGTTTGAACGATTTTCAAAAATGAGTGACTTTTATCTTTCACTACAAGTGTAATGGTAATGTCTTAGTATAGACATCAGAACGTTTTTATAATTACCGGATACTCACTTTTTTACACAATCTTACGTAACACGTAAACAAACCAGTCTTCGTCTCAGTTTTCTTTGTTTATAGTTAAACTACAAAGAAATCATTTGATAACTGTTTTGGTGAAGAATAGGAAAGCTGTTGAAGTAGGTATACTAAACTAAACACTTCTTTTTACGCATGAATTTCTCATGTCAGAATGGGGACAACGATAACTTTCCTATACCTCGATCTTCCCGACTCTTCAGAGAAGTTAGGAACAAAGATTTTGTAGTTAATAATGAATTTTCTGGGGAACATTTATAGTTATAAGAACAATTCGAAAACAAACCTTTTAGCCTGAAAAAGTTTGCATCCACACAGACGAGGTTATGTAACGATACTCCTACTATATTAAAATCGGATAACCGATAATAACGCTCGATAAACTAATGAACTTCATAATTGTACTAATCTCTGACAGATCTGATCATTTTCGTTGCGAAATACTTCCTATATATGCAGATCATCTGCTCATTGACTGGAAAATGGCTTCAAAATCAAAACGTCATTTTAAAGATCCCTCAATTTCGTTCACATACCATATTTTGGCCGTTAGTGATTTACTAACTTACAAAAAATGTATCTTAATCAATTGTACTTCATTTTATTCCAGGTTTTTTCCAAATTCCCAGACATATATTCAACATTATCAATACACTTAGTTGAAATAAGTCAATCAATGCAACAGACTCAAAAGCAAACAATAGAAAAAACTCTGTCATGTTTAGATAATAAACCTCCACTTATATTTTGGCATACTGACTTACGCCAAGTTCCTGAAAATTTCTCATTTTTTATAGGTCACGAATTTTTCGATGTGCTTCCAGTTCATTGTTTTCAGGTAAGTCATCATATATTGTAATGGCTTCATATACGCTTACAGAAATATGTTCTTATTTAAGTAGTTAGTAATAATCTAAAGACCATGCAATAAATGTGCTATTTTTATCCTTATAATCCCATACTCATAAGTAATTGTGATCTTTTATACATATGTGTCTTTTATAATTGATCTCATTTATTCCACTAACCGTGTACCTTTTGATGTCTATGCGTGTGTACTCATTTATCTTATCCATTATCTATTCTATATATAAACTTATACAAAATTATTTAGCTATCCAGCTAGTGTGCCGATTCCATCTTGTATATGTTCATATTTTCTGCTAGTTTATGCTTGTACGAATACCTGAATTGTTTATGTAACATTTCATATGTCGGTCTTTAATACTGCGTTGCATACACGTCTCAAGTCAAGAAACTTATGCGAAATCAAATAAAGTCAGATGGCCCACTAAAATATTCATGCGACCATTATTATCATTTAAACTCATTTACACAATATGATAGCAATATGCAGTTATGACTCTTTGTTCGCCTTATCACTCCCGTTTGTTCTTTTCTAGAAACATGAAGGAAAATGGCACGAAGTTTTAGTTAGCTCCATGATAAATTCTAATAGCTTATGTTTTGTACGTTCAAGCACAAAAACTCCAGCATCAATAGCATATCTTCCGGTAAGCTGCTTATTTCTGTTTATTAAATCATGTATTGAATTCTTTGATAATGAGTCCATCGTTGCGATATTGTAGGTTTCGTCATTAAGCCTAAACACCCGGTAACCGTTAAACCGTTGTATAATATTTATGGACAAATGGAACTGAAGTTTCATGTCACGTAGACTGACTTAAGTTAGAAAACTTTTGAAGACTAGGAGGCCACGGATAGCCGTTTCGTTCTAGTATGGGACTCTCCAACAGTGCACCAACTACCTCAAAAGAAGTCGAACCCAGGATCTTTATGGCTCGTGGTGAGCACCTAATGGTTTATACTCCGAGCTTCACTCTGCTCACGGTATTGTGCAGCCGTCATTCACTGCCATTAATGACATTTGTCGCATACTCTACTTGGACAAAACAAATGTCCAATGCCTTCTGATTTTGAATCACCGTTTAACCATAGACGGATGCACATATGTGCCTGGTCCTATGTTGTAGCTGACTGACGGATTAACCATAGTCAGTTCGTGATGTGATATTACAAATTCAGCAATCTCCACAATACTAAAATAAAAAATGGAATTACGCCAACGCCTTTAGATAGGTCACTAGATATACTACTAATGGATCTAAAATAATGTGCATCTAATCAGAATTTAGTTGTAAAACAAGTTGCTGAGCACTTAGATGGTAAAGCGTTTTCAAGTGGAAAGTTACCCCAACATTTATTTTTTAAACATAATCGCATAGTATGTGATCATAACTAATTTCTGTGCATAAATTTAAGGTACTATAAACATTAGCATTTTATTTGTTAAGGTCCACGAGATTATCGTAACCGATGGTATGAGACGTTGAACGATATGGTTTAAAATCGGTCTCAATGGCTCATATGCATTTAATCTTTGTTGTCAAATACTTATACCTTCTATCCTATAAACTTATTTTCTCATATCATAATATTTATGCCTAATTTTTGTTAGTACTATGCTATTGCTGCATATAGTAATCTGGCATTTATCATGAGAATTTCATTTCTTTATACTGATTACTACCAGTAATGTACTTATTTGAACTTTGAATTGATGATATTCAGTTTTATTTCAACTGTCGAGTCACATAGCTTCAATTTCACTTGAGTGTTATTATTTGGAATCGAAAAAAATCAGAATATTTTGTAAATACCTCTCAAAATCCATTAATTAATTACATTCGAAGGAATGAGATTAATATCAGATAGTCAATGGTAATCATGGATAATAATTGAAATGATTGCTTTATTAGAACTGAATAATTACTGGTAATATCAAACAATTACTTACTTACACCTGTTACTCCGAATGGAGCATAGGCCGCCGACCAGCATTCTACAACCCACTCTGTCCTGCGCCTTCTTTTCTAGTTCTATCCAATTCTTGCTCATTTTTCTCATGTCTATTTCCATTTCCCGGCATAATGTGTTCTCTGGTCTTCCTCTTTTCCTTTGGCCTTCAGGATTCCATGTGAGGGCTTAGCTTGTGACGCAGTTGTGTGCTTTCCTCAATGTGTGTCCTATCCACTTCCAGCGCTTCTTCCTGATTTCTTACTCCACTGGGATCTGGTTTGTTCTCTCCCACAGTTGGTTGTTGCTAATAGTGTCTGGCCAACGGATCCGAAGTATTTTGCGTAGCCAACTGTTAATAAACACCTGTATTTTCTAGATGATGGCTTTCGTAATTCTCCAGTTTTCTGCCCCATACAGTAGAACTGTCTTGACATTTGTATTGAAAATCCTGACCTTGGTGTTGGTTGACAATATCGATCAATAAAATATAGTAAAGAAATTGTATGATATAATAGTTACTTACAAGTAATATAACCCTATTAAATACGTCTCACAAATAGTCAAACTAATACTTATGGTATATACTTCTTTCTAAAATTTCCACTGAAACAAAAAAGTTGTTGTTGATATAATCTTGGGATTATGCAATCAAGCGATATACGGTCATTCAACTTTGTCTATTCAACTGAAAATCAGATGTCAGAATAATGATATTATGATGATGGGTAATACAGAGTTATTAGAAATAGTTCGGGAGTCCAATGACTGTACAAATTAAAATAATTTCTTATTATAGTTGAATATGTCAGTTTTTTTACTGGACTTTTGAAAACAAAAGTGACATTTTTAAATCATTGAAATTGATTAGAGAGATTTTATTTTATAAGTAGTCACTGAAACCACCCTGAGAATAAAGCTAGACAATAAACAAGTCTGAATAGTGCGTTACCAGATCTGTGTGATATATTTAGACAGTACATTTAAAACACATAAACATAAATTAAATGTAACCATTTATGATAATTTACACGATAAGCCTTGTCAATCCTTATCTTCTTTTTGCGTTGAATGTGTTTTAGTGTACAAAGCTATCTACAGAAGCTACCTATTTTTGACGTTATTATAACTTGCAATTTCGTAGCCATATGTAAAGCTTATGATTGTATAAAGTGTCTTTTCATAGATATTTGTGTCAGTCTAGTGATTAAGGCACTCGACTTTCAGCCACCAAGTCAAAAGTTTGGACTCAAATCCACTTATTTCGGTTCACAAAGCCGTGTACTATCATTAGCTTTCACATTTAAATTGTTTCACACCCAAGTACCTGGTTAATGAGTTAATGAATTAGATTTATAGTATTAGATGATTGCAAATTTCTTTCAATTATTTTCTATAGTTAGTTCCTAATCTGTCGAACCGAAACTCTGTGGAAATCTGTCCTGATATGATATGTATCACACAGTTATTATGCAAACGAATTAATAAAACGGGTGGTAGTGCACTGTTGATTGATTATGGTCATGAAGGTGAAAAAGGTGATACATTTCGTGTAAGTCAAAGTCTTTGCATATGTCATTTAACAATTTTCAGTATCATTTCACGTAATTTGTTATAAAGACTCAGTTGATATGATAAAATACTGAAATGATTGTGAGGTGGTATTCAAAATTATAATTCCTTCATAAAATCGATCACTCTCAAATCTCAACTGAATCAATTTCAGGCGATAACATCAAACGGTTAATTAACTGAATATATAGAGGATATATATTAGAATGTATTTAAGATGTCTCAGTTATGTACACCATACTCAAATAAAACAGTGTAAGTAATCAGCCAACAATTGAATAATCAAAAGATTGAAATAAAATTAAACGAAGTTTTACTTCCGCTTATTTATATATTTGAACACATAAATATTGATCCAAATGGGCACCGAATACACATGCGCCACACAAGTCACTCGATTTGTGTGTGGGCTATGATACTGCCCGGGTGCCCAGACCGAAACAGGTGGTCCTCTTAAGGGGCCACATCCCGAGCCTTCAATCTAAAGGTTTGATCCACAAGACAGTGGAGCAACATCAGGGGACACAGCCCCATGGTAGCCGGTGACCAATAATTGGTTCATACGCCACGTGAGAGCATTTTAGGAAGGAGAGTTGACTCTCCCCACCCTCGGCCGTACCAGGGCATTTGGGGCTTATTGTATCAAAAACATAGCTTGGGAACTTTTATTGGCCCGAAATCTGACTCTATTTAGATCGTTTCTGATTGCTGTCTAAATATACATATCGCCAATCCTCATATATAATTATCGACTTAACTTGCGTTAGTGAATAACAGAATTAAATAAGTCAAATGCGAGAATGGATTTTTGAATATGTACATTTCGTATAATCGTTGGTTAGAAAGCGATGCAAAACGAAATGACGCCTGGTGAAGGCGAGTGAGCCAACTCGATTTCACCAAATGTGAATCGATGTTTATATTCAGACAAAATTAAGTTACAGACATGTGATAAACACGATAAGAAATGCACACACATACGACCATATAAAAAACAGTCAAGGTTGATAAGCGAATAATTAACAAGGTCAAAATGTGACTTGGAAAGAATTAATAAATTGCCCAGTTAGAAAGCTAGAATTAGCTATGTGGGCTTGACATAACAACCGACATTACAAACTCCTCTGTTATGTTTCTTCAGTCTTTACACTTAATCCAACTTATTTACGAGGTAAAAAATCATGCGCTTGGCTTTAGACCATATTGCATGTGTTAGGTTAAGTGGTACCACCGTTTGATCAAGCCGGAACAAGTGGTGAAGTATTTGAACCTGGGACTTAGTCGCTGAAAGATGAATGCTTTAACCATTGATCTACCATTGTTTACACAGTCGACGTGTTCATGTATAAATCTGCACTGAAAAACTTTTTTCCCATTACAACACTAATTCATCCTCTCTTCTTTTATTTTCCTTACAGGGTTTTCATAAACATTCAGTTTGTGATCCTCTCATCAATCCTGGTCACACTGATCTAACATGTGATGTTGATTTTAGTATTTTATGTCAAGCAGTCAAAAACTCCGATGCTAAGGGTTTGTTTATTATTTAATTCATGTATATTTTATTCTATGTTATTCTAATTTAAAACACAATCATATAATTGTGTTTTAATATTCTAATTTCTTTTTATGAAAATTAAATTAATGCTTTCCTGACTAGCTTATTTGTTTCAGTGATTAATAATTATGATTATATTATAGTAAATAAAACCGTTTGCATATAACTCCTTACTAATGTTATTGATTATCAGATTGATACCATTGATCATGAAATGAATTAGGTAACTGCTAAGGAAAGAATCCAGGTTATCCAGTTCTTCTTTTAAAGTATTACCCGGGTTTCACTTTGTAATATTCGCCTTTTGGTAGTTTCGCGTCTAGCCTGAAGGTACTTCGTATGTTGGGAGAGTGTCAAAGGGAGTGTATTAGAGAAGCCGACAGAAAAAAGTTAGTCTGATAACTCAATAAGCACATAGAATGCACTTACATTTAATAACGAAAGCAATCGACAACATTTAGACGTAACACTAGTGTTAGATTAAAACGATCGGATAATCGAATCTAGAAGTTGATAGCGTAAGATTTCGTATGCGTTGCAATTTCTCTCACTTGAATGTACATAATGATGTTTGCTGTCGTCCGATTGGTTGTTCGTATGCATAAGACTGTACTTGATAAATAAATTACATGATTTTCAAATATATACGGTGACATATCTAGCTGTCTTAAACTACAACATCGCTAATTAATCGCACTTGAAAGCGTATAACTACCGAACCTTTACTCAAGAAAAAATAATAACGGCTCTCATTAACCAATAAGACATTTCGAGATTTTTCAGTCTAATCATCGAAATTCTTGACTTTTAAACCTGTTTTGAATTAAACTACTGCATTTTACCATTAGTTTATAACCTTTGTACACAATTCTGTATAAGCATATTAAGTTCCTTTAAGTACTTTCATTCAGTAAGTCACACACAACGTAGAATCTGGCACATATGCATTGATTAAAGTTGCCAAACTACCTCAGAACAGCGGGATACTTGAGTAACAGAAGTAGTAGTTATACCAGTCGTTGGAGAAGAGGTTAGACTTAGGCGGAATGGTTCTGTAAAGAAGCATAAATTCTCAGGATAAAAAAGGCACAGGATTCTTTCAAAACTCAGAATCTAAAAGAAGACAAAGATTGAGTCCATTTACGCTTTTGCGTACTATTGTAAATCATTTCACCCAATGTTTCTAACCACTAATTACAATAATCTCGCGAATCCTAATTAAGTAGCTTGCACTTGTATACACAATTCAGTCCAATAGTCAATGATGTTATGGACTAACACCACATCAAATAATTCAACTCCTCTTTGCATTTTTCTGAAATTGTATGTTGATAAAGGGAGAATAATTTCTAACTGTGTAATTCTCTGCTTCATATCTCTGTTTATATTTTAACTAGTAAAATTTTCTTTTTCCTGATACTCTAGTAAAACTTCATGGACCTGTAACTCAAGCTTATTTTCTTATCAATATGGGTTTATTCACTCGATTAAAGGTAACCATTAATAAATGATTGAATTTTTTAAATTGTCTCTTTCCCTATGGATTTGCTTCTTTTTTTTCAAATTTCTTACATTATAAAGACATTTAAAAATTATTAATGTTATCTGCTTTGAATTTCAACAAGAGTACTTCAGCTTTGCATATTTGCATGATTTAAAACACAAAAATTATTTCCCCTTTTTAGTTACTTACATTTGAACCGGATCGGTCACTCAATATTTTAACCGAATAAATTAATTTATTGATAGTTAAGTCTTATAGTTTGACCTGTAAAATATGTCGTTAGTTTTTTTCCAAAAACCCTGGTTCAACTCTAGTTTCAATGTATACTCTTGTTCGCTTATTATTATTCCCTTTATATAGTTGAATATTTTTATAAATGATATTCTACGTGGATCGATATGATTTAAGGTGCTGTTGAAATATGAGGAACAATAAATAACTGCTTTGTCCTAGTATTTTTGAAAATACCCGACAGTGTTCGCTCAGGACATTTAAATCTCACAGTGAAGATGATACCTGTAGATTACTACCGAAATGGAACCCAATGGTTTGTAGTTCTAATTTCAAGAAATTCGCAACATCGTGTAAATATTACTCAGTGTTGTCGGTAACGACTTGATTTTCAATAGTACCTCAAATAATGTAAATCTGTAACAACTACCAACTGCAAATTAATCTTCACGATTCCCTTAATTGAAGAGATTTTTTTTACCTAAAATATAAGTTTTTATCATATTAGGCCTGAAGCACTTATCTTAGTACTTTTTTTGGTAATGTACCGAGCATAGTCCGATCTGTACTGCTCATGAAGACTAATAAAGGTAGCATGAATGAAATTTATTTGCCTATGAATTTAACAAGTTTAAACCTCCTAACTCATGACGATCATGTTGAAAGCAACCAATACCCTTGTTCCATTGTACATGTAGATCCAGCGAATTTTAAATGTTTTTGAAGTGACAATATAGGTAGAGATGTTAACCAGAGGTAAAGAATTTGTTGTACTTAATCCGAAGAAGTGGTAATAGATAGTATGATCAGCCTTCACGTGGATAACAGATGTACAGTTCTTAGCTTTAGTATATGTAGATATGCATGAATGATAAATTGCTTCATCAGGTAAGATAAAAAAATTTTTGAATCAATATCGCTCTACTGTGTTTTCAGCTTTTAACATATATTGGTCGTTCGAACCTTTCCATTGTTGTTTAGGACTGTAGTTGATCAGTCTATTCCGGGATATGTGCATTATGTGCGGATTGCCTCGATATTGTCGTTGATTCACGAGCACTATTAAGCAGAGATGGATAGTGGTTAGTATTAGAATTCAGGACGCACCTTTTGTCTTATTTGAGACTCTTCATCTGGATGTGCCAAAATCCCAACGTCGATGTTCACTCCGTGACTCGAACTCAATACCATTCGCTTCAAACTCTATCTCTGCTTATAATAAAATTGTTATCTTAAGATAAAAGATTTGTAGAAATTGTTTAGCTTGAAGTTGGTTTTCGTCATGGACACTGAAATCAACATTAGATACTCATCTTGTGTTGGTTTAAGACCCTTCGGTGGTGTTGACTTTATAGCCGTACACATATGATCGTACTCGTGGCTTTCACTGCTCATAGTTAGTAAGATATTGACAAATCGGTTACTCGAACTCTAGCTAATGACTTCTTAGCTGTTCCATAGATCTCCGAAATTGTCCTACAATTCACTTCTGTATGTTAGAGAAAAGGTTCAAAGTAAGGACAGAAGCTGTACTTTAAGATAAGCTAATGTACAGATGAAAATGCTATTTATGGGTTTATTGGAGGCTTTTGACCCCTGTAAACTTATGAAAGGATCCTAAACTTTGCGACAGGATGAGTAATCATCTAATCAGTGTCCATTTTCTAGGAGTTTCTAGGGTGTTTTCGCTAAATGCTGAGTACACAACATGTCTTTAGCCTTTTCCTGACCACCGAAAACATTATTGAGAAATTCTCAGGAGATCTCAATAGACATGTACTCGAAATCTAATGATTCATACTTTCAATAAAGCTACAGATTGTCTCATGACATATTCAATCTATTTACTTGTTTATTTGTTTTCACTTACTTCATTTACTCTCTATAGGTTTTATTGTCTAAATGTGAATCAGAACAACAAAAAGATGAATTGTTTTCAGCATGTGAAATCCTCGTCACCAATGAACAAATGGGTAGTCGATTCAAAGTTGTTGCAATCACCCCTGAGCTAGAATCAGATTCTGTTGGTTGTGAGCAACAACTACCTGGTTTTACTCCATTATCTGGTACACCATATGCACAGCCGAATTCTGTATAGATAATGTGTTTTTTTTTGTATAACTTCCCTTGTTTATTTACCAGCTAAATTACTAAACTCAGTCCCTTAGCTTTGTACATATAAAACTCAAATATATGTTTATTATTGTATATATGTATGGTCAGATGACGAGTTTTTTCTAAAAATCGATATCTTCAATAAGTCTAATGGTATATAAGTTGCATACTGAACATTTATTGTTTTCAACACAAGTCAATGTTCCATCCCAACGCCATCTGTTACTTGAGATCTAGTGATTTCATGCTAACTTCACTGTATCTCGTAAAAATCAATACATGAATATGTTCTAATTGAAATATAAGTAGATCTTTTAAACATGTTTATTCTTATTAGCGCCTAATAAGCTTTGCCACATCGTCTATCAATTATATACCTAATAGTAATAATATAAATACCGTAATTTATTTTTTTAACAATATAATCATATCTCAGAAAAATGGTACTGACATTGATACACTAGTTTGAATAATTAGATGGTTGAGATTTGGAAATCCCCACAAAATCTACCTTGACCTAAATGCGTAAATAAGTATTACACTTACAAATTTAATCTATAACGATCAGTTAGAAAGCAAACTATCCAATCCTATTGGCTAAAAATAAATTTAAATGTAAAATTTGATTAATATATGCCATCAAATATGATTAGTTGCTTATTGAAAATGAAACGGACACTTACCTACGACCGTGTATAATGATTAAAAATTATCTAAAACTAGGGTAATACTAATCATTGGCTTCTGACTCAATGACTGACTGAATTCTTTTGCATCATGAAACCTAAATATCATCAACGTAATAATTTACTAACTGGTGAGAAGTCTTAAACCAGGACTTAACATCTGCACAGTACTCTGTTATTCTCAATGACTTTAGCAGATATCAGTCAATAGAAAAAATACTATATTTGTATCCCTCTCTCTTAGGGTTAGAAGTGAGATCATTCCTAGATTTCTATCAGTTATTTAATCACAATTTGTTCAGGACAATAAATTGAAATATTTTCACCTTTTTAAACTGTGCCCACTATACTTTTTAGAGAATCTGTAAGTTAAATAGGTATGTTGTGGTTATGAAACTGTCTTTCCAACAGTTCTTCAGAATTGTAAACAAAAAAAGTATGACATCTCTTCTTCCTTATTGCTCATTCATTTATTATCGTAACATTTAGCCAGTTCAGTTATCACCAAAACGTCTTCAGATAATAATGATAGTAATAATAATAAAGGTTCAGTGAGATGAGATAAAGTTAAATTATGCAGTAAGAAATTAGACTGGCGCTTTCCTTAACAAAATTCTAGAATTATTTGAAATTAGTTCATCAATGAAATTTTCAAGCATTTAAATAAGTTAGTTCATAAATAGTTAAACTACAGTAAAGTTCACTGGTTGAAACAATAATTCATATGTTGATACATTCAAAACCTTGTAGCTTAGAGCTGGGTACGCAAACCTGTATTGGTAAGCAACTTACATTGATTTTTTAGGGGATCACGAAAACAAATTATCTCTAGTGTTTATTTGATTACAAGGAGATCAACAAACTATGTTTCTAATTTAGTTGCTATCATACGTTTAAGTTGAAGAACCCGACAGAACGACTTCTCGATTAATTTTAATCCAAGTACCAGGAAATGAATGATAACATATTTTACACTTGAATTAGCACTGTAGGATTAGTAAAGAAACTTTCATTTTTGCTTTCTCAGTTATTAGGGGCTGTTTGTACAGTTATTGAGAAATACAATCCAGAATATTATTCTACGTTAATGCGCTCACTGTTGCGTTGTCGTTTCAAATCTCAACTAATCCATGATAATATATAGGTAAAGTGACCTCTCAACAGCATGGATCAACACTGACTGGTAAAAATTTTTATACAGCTTCTGCTAACTGACAGGTTAATATTGTTCAAATCGACGCTATCTGACGCTTCCCTTAAACATTCAAGACACCTCTGTTTTGTTCAACATACAGTATGCAATAATTTTGTTCTATGTGATTCGGCAGATTTTTTCCCTAAATAGACCACATGGTATATCGTGCATTTACTTCAGTAAGATGCAAATGTTAGCGAGATATTGTAAGTGAATTATTTACCTAGCTAAGTCTACTGCCCACACATTCTCCTGTTTAAGTCTTGGATATATATATATTTCAATTATCGTTATTTGACTTATCATGCAGCCAGTCTTTCCATTTTGAAAAACTGGTTTGCTAAACATGGAAGTGTGTTAGCGGCTGAATAAAACGGTACAACATAAATCATTTGAGTTTTCCAAGTTCGAACACTTTGCTTGAAAAATATTTATAACGAGAGTATTTGCAAATTATGCACTATATGTGAAGAAGCCATTTGTTGATGAGTCCCAGAAAATTCTTCGAAATCAGCGCAAAGGGGTCCTAAAAACACTGAGAAACTTTTTATCCAATAAGCATTCAACAGAAGTTTGCCAGAAACATCTAGAAAGTGAAATGTCACTGATCGGATGAATACCCATCCCGCTACTATTTTTAGAAGGGTTCCATAACTTTCCAGCAGCACAAGGTCATCTAAAATGCTGCAAATACCCTAGATTTTCTGTACATAAACTAACCTTGAAGTAAAACGTTCTTTCCATATTTCGTGCCTTTTCTCTCGTATTCAAGTTGCTGAGTAGATTTAGCCTAGGGGTTATTAGAAGAGTTTAAGAAACAGGATCAAGTGTTCAATTAGATTTATCTTTATTAGTATCGTAGAATAACTAATTATATTTAAATGAAATGATTATATTGTTTAAGGAAACGACACCAAAAATAAAAACATTCCCTTCACTGAAATTGTAAAATGAAAATCCTCAATACTCCACAATGGTCGTAAATCGACCAACTAACGAACAAAGTTAAGAGAGACTATTCATGTATACAAACTAAGGATTATATTGAATAGATAAAACCCCTAACTAATAATACTAAATACTGTAGTGAACAGAACACGAGTGGGGGCAACCGAATGTATTCAACCCCAAACTACTGGACTTGTTAATAAAATCTAACAATCATAAAGTAAATGCTTAATTTGCAAAATGTTCACCAATTGTTTCAAAATGACTCAGACTTCATTGTTCTTGCATTTTCATACAAATTGCATCCTGTTTCCATCCTTTACTGTTCGATCTTCTTGTCTCTCTGCTGCCAGACCTTCTGTTCACGACTAACAGCATATACTACTTATGTCAATATAAGTAGCACACACCACACATATCATAATAGTCATTTGTATTTCAGAAAATTATCAATGAAATCTGTCAACAACAATTATTACCAAATTCACCACTATGTTATTACTGACTAATCTTCTTTTTTTTTAATTTTGTAATTTCCAAAGACAATGTTTATCCAAATGATAGAATCTTTTTAAAGATTTTTTTATTGTTAGCTACATACACACTAATTTACTCAATAAATTTTCATTCATAAGATTATAGATGGTGTAACATGTAGTGTATGTATCCCCCTATGTGTATACAGGTATGGTCACATTAAATATGGGTCAGTTAATAGTTGAATTGAATTCTTTGTGTCTAATTCCATTCTTGATTTTTTTCCTTTGACATATCAATAAGTATCAGATTTCTATTATTATTATTAATATTATTATTATTATTATTATTATTATTATTATTACTCCCTCAATCGTTTTAATTAGAATTGAACAATGTACACGGTTCCATATTTTGTTCGTTTTAAATTTCTGTCCCCAATTTATTTTGCTTTTTGAATAAATACTCTTCATTGAAATAAGTATGAATGAATAAAGTTTATCAGTTTATGATTAATTGGAACTATCCAACCTGAATGAATTCATTATGTATTGTTAGAGAATGTTTTTTTAAAATATTAATTTCATGCGAAAAAATGAAAGAAATCCATACACTATGCTAGATGGAGGTGTAAATCTTGTCCTATTTCAACTTTCTGTTTCAATTAAACATATTTAATAATTGAATTCATGAGTCATTTGAAGCTAGATCATCGAGACTGGTAGGTCCTGGGTTCGAATCTCACGAGGCGGGATCGTGGATGCACACTGTTGAGGAGTTTCATACTAGGATGAAACGGCGGTCCAGTGCTTCCAGGTTTTCCATGGTGGTCTAGATTTGATTTACTCATGAATTCAATTATTAAATTACTACAATCTCCACAAAACCGCTCTCCGATTATAAACATATTTGTTAGAAATCCTTGGTTTTCATGTAAAATCATTATTTTTCATATTGTTTATAATGAGTTGTATTCAGTTAGTTAGCAGGTCGCTTTTGTCACGGATTATTATCTGCTGAAGAGTCATTGCATAATCAGAGAGCTATCTGAATAGTTGTTTCGTCATGTTTTCTAAGGAATTTTATCTACAATCCAAAATTTTCAGATTATGAAGGAAACAGTCTATCACTAAATCACTAAGATAAAACTTAATAGTTCATCTACTTTAACTTATCCTACAGTGAGTAAATCACAGTTCAAATAACTCATTGGTAAATGATATGACCGCGATACTACTGGGTGATACAAGTTCGAATCATATGTAGATTATCAGTTTCCTCAAGGCGTAGATACACTATGCTGATGAGTATCAACTAGCACCAAAGCATTGACCTAGTAAATATTATTACTGGTTGTTCATAATCACTTGATTAGTAGGCAGTTTTTGATGATCAGTCATGTCATTTCCGTTTTGATCAACTCCATAGACCACAATTTATCATTAAAAATGTAAGAAATGTATCTCAAAGTTACTACTTATTATACTGTTATGAATCATTTATATAAATGGTTTTGTGGAAATTTATAAAGTTTGAATATGGTTTCTATCATAAACTTATACCAGCTAGTCAGTTGTTTCAAATATACTATAGATTACTAGTAAGGGCTTGTGATTCTTTGCTGTTAACATTGAGAACTGAAATTGATTAATGTCTCTTAGACCAAGTAGCTTAATGGATAAAGCGTTAGATTTTGGAGTGATAAGCATTGGGTTTGAGTTACAGTGTAAACATTGACATTAAGATACATGTGTATCCAGCTAGATCCTAAGTTGAACGAGACCTTTTTGCCTAGTTTCATTGATAGCGAAAATCCAAATATGCCATAGATTACTGTCTTTGTTTGACAAGTGATAATCTTACAAATGTAGATCAATGGCATTGAGGTTAGAGTATTCAAGGTAAAATCACTGACACACAGGTTTTGAATTTCATTTCACGTACTTCGGTTTACACAGCTGGGTAGTACCACTAGCCCTCACCCGAACATACACACAGATCGATTGTAGCTAAAAAAAACAAGTGAGTAAATCTAAACTTGGTAATTAAGTAAAATTAGTCTTACGTATAATTAACATTTGTACTACTTTATATTACTTCCTTATAATATATCAGTGATGCAGAGATCTGTTTGACGAGCAACAGTGAAAAAGCATAATAGATCGTAGTTTCCATGGAAAGTTAAAAATCACATAGGATAAGCCAGTCGTTTTATGCCACTCAACTATATGAAAATTATATGTTTAGATGGTGGTTGGAGGTAGTCAACAGGAAACCCTGGACCCGGGTTTCGTGCTACTTGGCACTCGTCAGCAAGGTGTACCTGTAATCCTGAGGGAACTGGTGCTCCCTGGTGGATAGCTCAGTGGTAACGTCTCTGACTGTGAAGCTGGGTGACACGAGATCGAATCCGCCAGGGAGCACCAGTTCCCTCAAGATTACAGGTACACCTTGCTGACGAGTGCCAAGTAGCACGAAACTCGGGTCCAGGGTTTCCTGTTGACTACCTCCAACCACCATCTAAATCTCAATACATAGTGCCCGCAGTGTCGAGTCACCTAGACTGGTGGCCACATTGCAACATGATCGATAGCATTCGATCTGAACTAATAAGGACTAGACAAGCATGACATTGATCACCACCCAGTGATCAATCAATTGTGAAAATTATATGTTGTTAGACACATTAGTAGTTTGAAGATAAAACAACTATTTACTAGTATTATAAGCAGTCTATCCCTCAAAAATAGTTTGACTTGAAGCTTAAGGTTAATCAAAACCACATATGTACCCTCACAAGAATAGATATGTGGTGTCCTAATGTGGAATTTTTCAGTCATAAAATTCGTTTGAATGTTCTACGACGACAAATTTTTATGCTATACCTTAAGATAAATCTCATTTTTCCGCCTATGAATCTAGTAAAATCAAATATGTCACCTAATTCATACATTTCAGATTTCATTCTGATATCTTGGTCTAACCCAGGAAAATCTCGTCATTTCGATGGAGTTTTGTTCCCTGAGCTGGATGGTGTCGTTCAGAAGAACAATGAAAGCTCCACAACCAAACCATCCAGCTCAGAGAACAAAACTCCATCAAAATCATCCACCTGAGCTACAAATCTTCTCCACCATCTCAAATCTCGTCATTGTTATATTTACTGATAGATTCTATAATTTATGAAACATTTCACACTCTCTAGTTTCCACTGTTCACAGCCTATTGTTATCAATTTAATCAACCAATTATATTTTGATTGCAGTTCATTTCTTACCCTTTTCATCTGTAAAACAATCAAACTACTTATCTTAAATATTCATTGGTTGAAAATTAGAAATAGCGCAAATTTTCTTCCTCTTTTAATGTTTCGCTAATCCAATTATACAAGTATGAAGTGAATAAAAATGTAGTTCGAATACTGAATGGCAACAAAAAAATGTTTTTTTCAACAGAAAATACTGAAATACATCCGTTTAGTAATTCATTTCTCTTATTCATGCTAAGGAATACTACTGAAATAAATTTTTTTTCAACCCGAAAATGATCGTTACTGAAATTATAGTGGATTCCATATGTTATACTTAACTCTAATGAGTATGAATTACACTAATTATAACAATCTATTCGACAAAAGTTATGCCGAGGAAATAAACGAATTCCCATTTACTATTAGTCAGGTAAGAATTTAGAATTAATATTAATGAATAACATACTTGTTTTAATGAATTTACTTATTTAGTAATTAATTTATTCGATGAATATATTCTCTACATCGTCCTGTATATCATTACTAGGTTAGTGGTTTAAAATAGTTAATTATCGACTGTTTTATTCACTCTTGATTAAGCAACTAAGTAAGGTTGGCTCAAGTGTCCTGGAAGTAATCGTATTTATTAGATATAGAGTGAAGCTAGTTCACCAATATCGTACTCCCATAACCTCACTAAAGATCCACCACAGGAAATGCATTTATGTTCATTGTGAGTGTGCTCCTTATAAATCACTGATATGAAATTCAGTGGTGTATATTACCAACTTCATTCAAGACACTAAATTTCATAACGAGCCTCAACTGTTATCAGTCATAACCATTTCATTTTCATCATGGATGAACCCCACTAGTCATACTCTTTTTAGAACCTTAAGTATAGGCTCCTAAAGTCAATTATTGTTCATTCTTAAAATCAATTAATGATGTAAACTGCTGTTATAATTGAAAAATGTCAACGAATTCAATTGATGTCCTAACTGAAAAGCTTTGAATTCTAGGTTTGAAGTATGCATATATAAAAAAATCTGAAATGATAACAAAATAAATTGTTAAATGTTTCATAGGTTTCTAGTGGTTTCACTTCTTGTTCACTTGGTTTCATTTGTTAATTAAAAGTATAGTTGAATTCATGAGTCGATGTAAGCTAGACTAATATTGATAACCTAGAAGCACTGAAAAGCCGTTTCGTCCTAGTATGAGACTCCTCAGCAATGCATGTTCACGACCCCTCATGCGGGGCTCGAACACAGGACCTTCCGTCTCAAGTGTGGGTGCACACTGCTTAGATCGACTCATGAACTCAACTACCTCGACAAACTCCCATTCTGAATTAAAAGTATACTCAAATTAACCGGTCTTTCACGATTATAAGGTTATATATAAGAATTATTAAATTAAATGTATAGAAATATAATGTATTGTAGTTAGATTTTATTATTGGTAGTAATGATAACAATATTGTAGAAATGTGGACTGAAAGAAATACAGTGAATGAGCTTATTATAAATTATAATGAAGTATAATGAGTAATACTAAGAAAAAACCATTTAGTGTACTTCGTTTTATGATAATTATTTTTAATATATCTAGTGAACCCCTCGAGTTAATCCCCCGTAAATTCAATTAGTTAGCTTTCAAAAACGATACAAAAGTATGAGAATACGAAAGTGTAAATTGTGAATGGACACTCAATTAGGTAAAGGACTGAGATAAAGAACGATCAGATCCAATAGGTAAATTTGCCAATGTGTTTTACTATAACCTTTAGTACATGTTAAAAACAAAAAATAATATAGCATTGAGCTAACTAGATTCTATACGTGGGAAAGCTGTGTTTTTACGCTCATTTAGTATCATGTCAATTAGAAGTTCAAAAATGAAACATTTTATTCTGTCTTTTATCCTTTGAGTATCCATGACGAGCGATATTAAGAAATTAGGTGAGTATGCTTGATCAAACTGTGAACATCAACGGGTTCCATAGAAGTAACTGAACAATCAAATGCCAAACAAATTGAAAATCTCCAAATTGAAGATCAATTTCTACATATAACGTAAAACTAATTAAATCATCCGTAAGGAATACTATCCCGTCAATTGTATTAAAGTTAAATGGTGTACTTAAACTTTATCAAAATGATTCTAAGTTCTAACTGAAAGAAAGTCGGGAGTTAAGGGTTCATAATTTAACTTATAATTATAAGCATTATTTTATTAGATAACATTAAAAAAACCTGTGATTTAAATTCATCATTCATAGCCACCCCTATATTAGTGGACAGTTTTTCACATCTCACCACTTTGCACTCCTAAAACCAGTCGTCCAATAATAATGAGGATTTTAAAAATGGTATAATCAGGAGTTATTGTTTAAAACTGAATGTAAAAGTCAATAATTTGTGCGGTGATTATCATTTTAATAGCAGTGAGCTCTAGTAATCACGCTATCACTTGTTTACATTTGAATTTGAACGCAGTTACAGTCAGAGAGAATTTGTTTCTTAGCATGTTATATCTTTATACATATTTAGGCAAATAAAAGTGTTCACCTAGACGATATTGAGTATATATTTCAATAGCACTTAAACCAAACACTATTTTTTAATGTACATAATTTTGCCCTCGAAGTTTATCGTTGGCGATAGGGAGAAAACTACAGTCGTTTAACATTAGCCTATTTTATTTAACTCATGTATAGTTTATGTGACTAAATTGTATAAGTGATTTCGCACTACACGCTTACTAGAGCATAAATATATAAGCATTTGGTTGGTTATCGCATTTATTTGATAAAGATCTCGTCAATTGATTCTATTCCCAAATAGGCCATTTAAATTGACTTGATAATGATCAATTCTAAAGATGAACTGATGACAGACGAAAGCAAAGTATACGTTAATAGGGTTCACTATCTTAAATGAGAACGATATACAGTCAGACAAGCCCATTTATAAAATTCCAATATGATTTCTTTAGAAAACGAGTGTTTATATCACAATTTATGATTTACATGGCAGTTAATAACATTGACAATATCAGGATAAAAGATGTAAAGTATGCTGAAAAATAATGTGAATAGCTGATTTCCAGCCACACCAATTAAGATCCCACAGTTTCCAAATTAAGTTCATTAAAATTAATAAGAAGTCATTTTTCTTATCAGCAGTCATATTTAGATTAATCTGAATTCACATTGATATATTTCATAATTAGTTAGTTTTATTATTATTTCAGAAAGTAATCTGGTAAAAATCACTCCAGAGGCCAAGAACATATGTTATAATTTCTTACATAAAAGTGTCCAACAAATAACAACGATAAACGAATAAATAAATTTTAACGGTTGAATTCATGAGACGATCTAAGCTAGACCACCACTGAAAACATGGAAGCACTGGAAGACAGTTTCATCCTAGTATAGGACTTCAGAGCAGCAAACATCCACGACCCCGATCAAACTCAAAATCTTCAAGTCTGTCGGCAATAGCTTAACCTTTTGACCACTGAGCTGTTTAGTTCTAATCAATTTTTAATATTGCTCAACCGACTTATTGGTGTGTAATTCCATCACACTACATGGTTGAAATCTGGTAGTTAGGGCTTCATATTTCCACGAAAATCTCCCGGGTATCAAAATGATGGCTCTGAAACTTTAAATTCTTCGATCTACTGTTTTTTTAGTAATTTAATTTTCAATCGATTTGTTTGCAACCAAAAATATAAAGAAACAAATAATAAATTAAACCCTTTAAAAAAGATTTAATATAGTGTGTTTTTATTTTAATGGATTCACACCAACGCCCCATTATTATTATTATTGCTCTCTTACCAACAGAATATAGTGAACTTGTGGTTGTTAAACATATATATATGTTTATAAACTAACCAACTATTCTATTAATTAGTAATAAAAATGGAAGGTTATGTAATCAACTCCAAGTCATTTAAAAACATGTCTATAATAATAATAATAATAACCAAGGTGATTGATGAAATAAAATAAAATCTGACCAGATAGTGGAGTCTTTCTAACTAATTGACTTTAACAGTCAGATTTGATTGCATCTTTGTTGTTTAATGTAAATCAGTTTAAACAATTTTGATTAGGTTGATATACACGATCTATAAATGATTAATTTCTGTTTCGGCATCATTGCAAAAAAAAGTATTGGATAGTTATTGCGTCATAGTGTGAAATGACTCAACAATAACCATCCAATGATTAAACTCATCAAATTCAGTCATAATGGTGAGCAGTTAATCATAAAGCTATTATGTTGGTATCTAATGGGACATATTTTTAAATTAAGTCAATTCAAAATACAGCATGAATATCATGGATGAGGACTGTTGTGCTCTCAACATAGCTGACCTCCAGCAGTCATGATTTCACACCAGAACTTCATGAGCTCATCTCGGACTAAGGTTACAACTGTTTAGTCTCCCTTGGTTTTCGATGGCATTTCAACTGACATCAATCCGTGACGAATACCCCTACACACTAAACGAATCTCCAAAACCCACTTAGTAAAAAATTTGTTTCATAATATGACCTAATAATTTATAATTTGAATAATTAGAGATTTCATCCGCTGTAGTTCCTTTTAAAAATTTAAGCAAAGTATAAAACTAAATTTTTTGGTATTGTTTACTTCAAAACTCGCTTTGATGTTAAGAACTGCGATTGATCACTCGTTTACTGGCATATGTGCATCCTGTGTGGATTGCCTCGATATTGCCTTAATTTACAAGCATTATAAGCAAAGATGGATAGTGGCTAGTAGTGGAATCCAGGACGCGCGTTTCGTCCTATTCGGGACTCGTCAGCTGGATGTGCCGGCATCTCAGAGTTGATGTTCACTCTGGGACTCGAACCCGTGGACTGATCGATTGCAGCCCTAAACATCAATGGGGAGATTCGGGTAAGCAATACCAAGTGAATTTAGACTTTACCCCATTGCACAAGCAAATGGCTATCAGGACTCAGTAGCTAAGTGGATAACGCGATGGCGTTTGAAGCGAGCGGTACTGGATTTGAGTCCCAGAGTGAACATCAACTCTGAGATGCAGTTACATCCAGTTGGCGAGTCAGAAATAGGACGAAACGTGCGTTCTAGATTCCACTGCTAGCCACTATCCATCATTACTCATAAAGTATAAAACAGTAATATTTTCAGAATACAATGAATTTATTGTGTATGAGTGTTTTCTTTTCAATCATATATTTTGAATACAACTATAATTTTACCTAGTGAACAATTTACTCTCCAATGCTAGCCAATTTACTTTCTAATTTTTAAATATCTTAACATTTTGAATTGATCTAAAGGTAATAATCTGTATTGAAACTGATAAACAAGCACTCATCTATGATTCTAAAAGTATTGTCATTTTTAACTGATTTTTGAGTAAATAGAATTGTCAATATAGGGTTGTGGAGATTGATAAGTTTCATTGAACTCACGAACTGATATAAATTAGACAAACCATTGACAACTTAAAAGCACTGGAAGGTGATTCTGTTTCAGTATGGGAATTTTTAGAATTATGCATACACAAATCCACAACCGAGAAATGAACGTAGGATCCTAAGGCTCGCTCATGGAAGTCCAAACTCTAAACCACTGAGCTCGGACCCGATTGTGTGCAAGTCCATCTTCAATCAGTCCAGGATATTGCTCAAATATTTGCCAGTTTTTTGGGTAGGTACTTTCCTGACATCTGGCAAGGCCGAACTACACTAGCTGCGGCTTAGAGAAAGGAAAGATGTGTTGATTGAATTTTTACTTGTATATCATTGGATCCTGGTTGTGGTCTGCAAATAGAATTGTTGGCACTCTTTTCAAAATAATAATGGTGATTTTTATATTCAATAATCATGATCTACTCAATGGAGAGGGAACTACAGTGGAGAGCAACTGGAAAGGGATAAAAGAGGCAATCACTTCAACATATCATGAGCTCCTGGGTCACAAGAAGCACCATCACAAGGAATGGATTACTGTTGATACACTGGATAAGACTCAAGAAAGGAGGAACAAGAAGGCAGCAATCAATACCAGCCGAACAAGGGCAGAAAAAGCCAAGGCACAAGCTAAATACACAGAAGTAAACAAGCAGGTGAAGAGGAGCATCAGAACCGACAAACGTAAATATGTGGACGATTAAGTAATGATGGCGGAAAAGGCTGCAAGAGAAGGAAACATGAGACAATTGTATGACACAACAAAGGTCTCAGCATACACAAAGGGAAATGCACGATTCTCCGATACAACACAGCATGCAACAATCGAATCACACTTGACGGAGAAGATTTGGAAAATGTAAAAACCTTTACATATCTGGGCACCATCATTAATGAACACGGTGGATTTGATGCAGATGTGAAGGCGCGGATCGACAAAGCAAGAGCAGCATATTTACAATTGAAGAATATATGGAACTCAAAACAACTGTCAACCAAAATCAAGGTCAGAATTTTCAATACAATCACCTCTGTTCACTGGAATAATTGCAGGCAATATGAAATGGTATATTTTAACTAATACCTACGCCTCAAAATCTTTACTTATATTTTACTTATTTATGCCTGTTACTCCCAATGGAGCATAGACCGCCCACCAGCATTCTACAACCCACTCTGTTCTGGGCCTCCTTTTCTAGTTCCATCCAATTCTTGTTCATTCTCCTCAGGTCTATCTCCATTTCCCGGCGTAATGTGTTCTCTGGTCTTCCCCTCCTCCTTTGGCCTTCAGGATTCCATGTGAGGGCTTGTCCTGTGACGCAGTTCAGTGCTTTCCTCAATGTGTGTCCTATCCACTTCCAGTGCTTCTTCCTGATTTCTTCCTCCACTGGAATCTGGTTTGTTCTCTCCCGCAGTTGGTTGTTGCTAATAGTGTCTGGCCGATGGATCCGAAGTATTTTGCGTAGACAGCTGTTAATAAACACCTGTATCTTCTGGATGATGTCTTTCGCAGTTCTTCAGGTTTCTGCCCCATACAGTAGAACTGTCTTGACATTTGTATTGAAAATTCTGACCTTGATGTTGGTTGACAATTGTTTTGAGTTACAGATATTCCTCAGTTGTAAATATGCTGCTCTTGCTTTGCCGATCCACGCCTTCACATCTGCATCAGATCCACCCTATTCATCAATGATGCTGCCCAGATATGTAAAGGTTTTTACATCTTCCAAATCTTCTTCGTCAATTATGATTGGATTGGTGCATTCTGTGTTGTATCGGAGAATCTTGCTTTTCCCTTTGTGTATATTTAGACCTACTGCTGCTGAGACTGCTGCTACACCGGTCGTCTTCTCCTGCATTTGTTGTTGCGTTTGCGATAGGAGGGCCATATCATCTGCGAATTCTAGATCGTCCAAATGCATTCTATCTGTCCACTGTATCCCTTCTGACTCCCAGGGCAGAGTTTAAAAGGTTTGAATATTTTTTTCTGGTTAGCGTTTTTTTAGCGAGTTAGTTTTCTACGGGATGGGGACGCTAACCCCATGCCCAACCCTCCTCCTTTATCCGGGTTTGGGACCGGCAGTAGCCCCCGGTGGGACTCCAGGCGGAGTTACCTCGAAATCATATAATATGATAAAACTGATTTTTTTTCCACTAACAGACAATTCGTTTTCACGCTCTATCGTTTTTTGGAATCATTACCATGGTTTAACTATAACGTCAGGATGTGCATAAAGTCATCCATCGGTTAATGTAAAGAGTCTCTATGCAAACAGTCATCCTATATGTACTCAGTACATTGTATACTTATTTTTTGGTTTTTATATACATTAATCTAAGCGTTGAAATGTTAAATGATTTAACTACAAATCATTATTACAAGGGGGATTAAAACATTTCACTTTATATGTTTATCTCTAGATTTTATTCATCTCTTTTTAATATTAGTTCCGCATTTCTATTAATGCTGTTATATTCGTCATTTTGATTACCATTTCAGTTTGCTTTCTCTCGTTATACTCTAGTTTTTCTATTAGAAATTGAAGGTATAAGATGCTTAGTGTCTAATTATAAACATCTTATGGTGGAAATACTGTATAAGTTGTTTCACATTCAAATAAATTACATTAATCTTGTATTTATTATTGCCAAAATCGTAATAGACTAAACGAAGCTTATCATTACACTACTGATAAATTAATCACTTATATTTATGTTTTAACAGTATAGAGGTTTGTGGAGATCACTGAATGTTACTGATATCATGAACCGGCATTAGTCAGACATCTAATGGAAAGCAGAAAGTGCATAACAGCTGTTTCATTCTAGTAGCATCCATCGTAATATAGAAGCTCTTGATTTTCATCCCCGGTAGGGTTGTGGATGCATACTGATGAAGAGTCACACACTTGGACGAAATAGTCTCTGAGCGATTCCCAGTCTAAATTAGGTCGCTTTATGATAATAGTAACAGTTATCTGTTTGTTGACGAATAAATTAGATAGATTTTTTTTTAGGTAATATTTAATTTTATAGATGATAAGTGGGGCTGTTTTATGAATTAAAAAAATCATAAAAAACGATATGATAAGTAGAAGTATCATTAATCCTATAAGGATGAATATTAGGAAATAAAATTCTATAAAACGGACATACGAATTACGAAATATAACTAATCTGTACGGCAAAATTCTTCTTCAGCTTCTTAGGGAATTGAATTTATTGTCGTCGAATTTCTTGACGTGAATTTCACTCATTAAAATCTAACTTGGAGTGGTAATTCCAAGATTCCTAGTGAGAAGCTGTAACCAGTAGAGTTCAGTCATGTTGAGTATGAGACAAGTATCATCAATGGGAATGAATGATGGTCATGCGATATCGCGAATGGGCCGAAGTTAGGTATGTAAACCATCGGATGTCAATTCAGTGGTCTCAAAGTTAAGCACTAGTTGTAAGATCTTCAGGTCCTAGCTTCAATCCCTGGCGGGACCATAGATATACACTTCTGAAGAGCCATGTACTAGGATAAAACAGTTGTCCAGTACTTCCTGGTTTTTAATGCTTGTCTAATCCAAGTCAGTTAGTGATGTGGAACCAAAATATCACTGATAACCAGCCTTCTCTTTAGTATCACTGATCCGTAATTTATTTGTTATTTTTGAAATAATCTTTGTCAGATTTTTTTATGGAATTGTGAGTAATATTAACATCTTATGAGTAGAACTTAATGGTTATCAGTGAATTGTCATGGGAATCGGGTATCCACAGCGGAAAATATGTGTTCGGTACTGACATCTAAAAACAGATGAACGATAATGATTAATGATGATTGAATAGATGATGAAAGAAATCTTGATCCTACAATTCATATCCAGAACTAATTAAATATTAAAATTGATTACATCAGAAACCAAAATCAAGTGAAAAGTCATTCAAAACTAGTAGGGCACTAAACACCTGTTTTATTCTTGTTCATGATCCTTTAATAAAGAGCACGCGTGATTATGCGATTCCGTAATTCGGTCAATTCACGTAATTATATGACTAACATTCGACTACACCAGTTACCATGCTAGCCTCACTTCCATAATCACCAATTATATCTTCAAAATTTTCATTCTCATCTCAAGAGTACTCGTTCAATGGTAAAATTCATGATAAAAACATAACATATCAAAAACGGATTAATTTTTAATGAATATAAAGTTATAATTGTCAAATTATATCTTTCGAAAATGATATTAGAAGACGAAGATTATCAGAACTATGTGATATATTAGAGCAATCAAGTGACCCAATAAGAGCAGAGGATAAACATCCATCATCCTCGACTGCTAAGCATATAATTGAAACAGGTGTTGTATAAAAGTGTAAAAGGGCGTATACTAAGGTTTATTGAAGCCTTAGCCTTACGAAAATTCAAACCCTCTTTGTGTGTTCAAAAACAGTTTGTTCTTCCCATAAACCTACACTGGTAACATTGACTTATTATCCAGTGTCATGAGGTTTCAAATTGTGTTCACATTATTATTATTATTATTATTATTATTATTATTATTATTATTATTATTATTATTATTATCTTTATCTCCTGTAACCCCGTTTCCAGTCTAGTTGACCTTTTATTTTTATATATAAATGCTCTTAACAAGTATATGTGTGACCAAATTGTTCGAAATGTATTGCGCTAATATATCACATAGTTCTGATAATCTTCGTCTTCTAATATCATTATCGAAATTTATCAAATGGACTAATTGTTTTAAATTATATCTTATTTATTCTCAAATTTTAGGTAGGATGTATATGTGAAGTATTGATTCGATCAAATCAAATCATAACTTTACGTCATCTATTAAATAGAATACCAAAAATCTGGTTAATACCTGAAGAACATTTCACATTTTATTATTATCAACAATTGAATAAACAATCTAATAGTTTAACAATTGATAACCTGTTTGAATCCCGTGAAATAATCATTAAAGCATTAGCTATTGTATCATATGAAGATCAAAATTATAAATTAGTTTATCAATTATTACAATGTAATCATTTTAATGAAAGGCATCAAGCAATACTTCAACAATTATGGTATAAAACACATTATGCCGAAGTACAAAATTCACGTAATCGACCATTAACTGCTGTTGATAAATATCGTATACGTAAAAAATATCCTTTACCTAAAACAATATGGGATGGTGTACAAACAGTATATTGTTTTAAACAAAATGTTCGACATATATTAATTCAATATTATCAAAAAAATAAATATCCAAATTCTAGAGAAAAATATGAAATTTCTATAAAGACTGGATTAACTTTTACTCAGGTAATGCAAATGATTGATAATATAATCCTGATGAAACTAAGGGAAACATATTTATGGATTGTTTTGTAGGTTTTGATGATTTCCCAAATGTTGTCATCTCATGACAATATACGATCTTCAAACTAATCCAATCTCTGTAATATAATGATGCAGCATTTGATTCGAACTAACTCAATATGCTTCTTCACTCTTAGTCTCTTTATTCAGTGGCCGACTGAGGCTTGCCTATAGGAAATTTGTCTATTATTATAATCAGACTTTTACACTGTTGTGACATCCAGTGTCCGAGATCTGACACTGATACACGACTTACTATGGGCTAACCCTACCCCCGACTGACTATTTGAGCGAGAAAGTATTTTGGGCTGCCGAATAATATTTACATTAATGAATTTGGTCGACAGGTTAAACATTACACCAACCAGAACCTACCGTGCGGCTACACTGTTAATCTTGTATAAAACAGTATGTTCAATAACTTTTCACAAGTCGACACGTACCTTCTTCATGTTACCCCAAATCGTGTTTATACGTTTATATGTACCTGTTAAAGTAATTAAATTGGTTAAATAGAAAGGAGGACTTTGCTGAAATTGTTTAGTTATGTGTCGAAAAGCTTTGATCAAGAAGAAGAAGTATTTCGAATAGTGTAATTACAAAGCGACAAACATATAGCTCAGTGGTTTAATCATATTTACTGGTTGAAGCGATTAATTTGCTGATATTATAAATTATATACGTACTGTAGTTAAATTTCATTTACTGTGTTATGACTTACCGCTCTCAATTATTACTTGATAAGATCGCCAATTAGAATACCAAATTATATGACCTTGTTCTTGTGCTAAGCCAATGACACCTCAACCAGTACTAGCATTCTTGCATCAACTCTGAATGGTTATTGATCCTCTGCACAGAAGCTTCTCGCCTAACCCATCTCGTTGAGTCCATAACACAACCTGAGCCTTCATTTTATGAATAATACGTTTCAGACATACGTGATTTACATACAACCAAACCAGACGGCATCATACCATAGGATTAATAATAATTATCATGCAAAATCAAGCCCAAAAGTGTCTGTGAATGTGGGAGACTGTAACTAACATACTAGAAATAACTTAAGAATGATAAATAATATAATAAAAGCCAATAGGTCAGTTGAAAGCCTATGATAAACGGAACATGAATATATATATATAATCTAGTTACCTAATAATTATCCAATACGAGTAGATGTAATAATAGTCCATAAATAATCCCTAGTAGTGACCATTCATTTATTCTTCGTTAGGATGTAAAATACTGTCAGTTCAGTGTAATCCAATTAGCCGGATTGCCAGAAAATTAAATAACATATCTCTCATTGTTTTTTAAGTAATAGGTTTGTTGTCAGTGCATAATAAACTCTTCATCTGTAGTCTTACGTTTCTTTCTTGCTTCAAGTAATATCAGTCTTAGTTCCGTTATATCATGGTAAGTTATACAGTCATACCTGCAGTTATGACAAGTAGCAGTGAGAGTATTATGACAAGCCATTACAAAAAATAAATGAAAAAGTTTTACCTAAAGCTATTTTCAATAAACTAAGGTCACGTGAGAATAATGGTTCAGTGTTATCTTCGGTTGGAATTGTCCAAAACAGTCTATTACAAACATATTCAATGTAATGCAGCTCGATGTGCCGGATAAAAAACATAAAATACAAATAAAGTTAAAATGAAATCTTTGATTTAAACAACACTCTGATCATTAGCATTCATTCACTAAGTTAACGGAGAAATTACTGAAATTGCTAGATAAGACACACTAAATGAACCATAGCCAGATTTTAGAAATCAGTACATGTATTACTGAGAAACGTAAACAAGTTTTTTTAAAACTATTTTTGCACACAAATTACTACTAGAAACTATATTTGTCAACCCTTGGAAATGATAAATATGTTTCTTATGATACAATTATCTTAAATAACAGTTATAAATATAATCTACTATGCTATCTCAAATATATTTATAACATATGGATGGAAAATTACTATACAATTGTTTACTTGCAGTAAATAAGAATGGCTATGAAGGTGTCATACAACTTGAACTAAGGAAATACTGAAATATATCCAAGATAACTTATGGATACAATAGTTTAAAACTATTCTACAATGCGATCGAGAAATTACTTATCAAAGAATACAGGTCTATTTATACAACAATAAAGGAATCAGTTGTTTAATTTCATACACATAGTGCCCTTTATTATCTTAAAGAGTGCAAAACCAAAGATTGGTGCAGAATAATATGAATTCATTTCATTTCGTTAGGTTCTCATCAGATATCGAAATACTTATAAATATGAAGATGATTGGAGATGAATGTGTATATCACGACATAGCGAAGATTCCAATAAAGTTAATAAGGTCATAAAAAAATTTGTTTCGGATAAATATAGTTTGAGAGGGAAAATTCCAGGACATTAAAATAGTAATTAGAACCAATGGAGTTAACAAACATTAGATGATTGTGTAATGAGGTGATTGAAAAGAGATTAATCATAATAAAGAAAGATATTAGTTGAAATCAGTCAATTATGAATTTAAGAAAAATGAAAATCATATAATCAAAACTTCAGAAAGAGTTGGAATAATGAATGACGTAATAAATAAAAAGGGGTGTAATGTTACCAGGGCAAAGAAATATGTATTACTGCTTCTTTTTTAATACATAGATGTGGTTCTAGCCAATTAATTGTTATAACTTCGGCAAATTTTAAAACCTTCGCTACATCATGATATACATATTTATCTGTAATCATCTTGGTATTTATAAGTATTTCGATATCTGTAATAACTCAGAGCAGCTGATGAGAGCTTAACGAAATGAAATGAAATCATATTATTCTGCACCAATCTTTGTTTTCGTTCTCTTTAAGATAAGAATAATTTATCTTCTAATTCATTTTTACAAATATATATTTTTTGCCAAATAATTGATTTTCCTTTCAATCTGTCATTTAGGTAAGTAATTGGTTTAAAAATCATAGACAACGTGATAAATCCTTAGAATCAACTGATTTATACTTTCAACATGAAAATAAAACTCTTAATAATAATAATAATAATAATAATAATAATAATAATAATAATAATAATAATAATAACTATAATTGTAATTGGTCCTGGCAGTCAATTCAATCCAACATCAATATTAATAATTCAATTAAACAACGTGAACAAAGCATAAAAAATGAATTATCAATTGAAACATATCGAAAATGTTACAATTATCAATCACCTTTTCAACCATTTACTAATCAACAAAAGTTGTCTGATAACAATGGTATAAATAAGAATCTAAGTTCTTCTTCTTCTTCTTCAGAAAACCTGAAAGATTCAAAATGTCATAGAACAACAATTTCATATCCAATATTCTCACATCAATATGTATCATCTAAACATTCAAATGAAATATGGTTTACACAATGGGCAACTGATCATTCCAATGTTGAACAAGACAAACATAACTATGAAGTGAATTATTATACTACCAGTTTTGATTATAATCAGAATAATTCATATTATACACTATGATGAAGTGAATAACGATTATAAGTAATTAAACAAAATAAATGATGTATGGCATACAGTCAGTCAAATAATTTCAGAGCAAAACAAAATCATCCTTGAATTATTCTAATGTACATTAAAATTATCTATCTAATAATTTCGAATAAAAAAATATAAAAAAATAAATAAATAACTGTTTTTGATAATCAGAAGGGGTTTTGTGGAGATTTTAGTAATTTCAGTAGTTGAAATCATGAGTCATTTGAAGCTAGACCACCATGGAAAACCTGGAAACACTGGACGGCCGTTTCATCCTAGCATGGGATCCCTCAGCAGTGCGCATCCACGATCCCGCCTCGTGAGATTCGAATCCAGGATCTATCAGTCTTGCACACGAGCGCTTAACCATTAGACCACTAAGCTGGCATCCAGCGATGTTAATTTCTAACTTCAACTAATCCACAAAATTGAGTAACACATCCACTATCGTCATCAGTGGGTTACTATCTCACAACAGACCCAGTTTAACTCCACCGGTCACTGCCTCCTGTGTTAGAACCTCTCGAGGGGGCGGGATCGCGGATGCGCACTGTTGAGGAGTCCCACCTCAAGATGGAACGGCCGTCCAGTGCTTTCAAGTTTTCTATGGTGGTCTAGCTTCAATTGACTCATGAACTCAACCATTAAATTACTATAATATCCACAAAACACCTTTACGAAATTGAATTTCACTTAACCGTGTTGTGGTTATTGTAATCAATGATTGGAAGCTTCATCTATCATTTAAGATATTTTATTCAAGTTTCATAAATATAACAATGATATAAACACAAAGCAACAATAACAATTGTTGCAATATATGACAAATTTATTGCATTTCGTTGCTGTTTCTTTAGTTATATACCAGCTAATATGTGAAGTTATTTATAACTGATAACATAATCATACCTGAACATTCAAAGCTTTGTGCCCCATTCGGCTTTAAATATGAGTTGGTGAAAATGTTATAACACATAACTTGTGGTCTGAGTGCCCTGCTAATGTATAACGTAATGATACCGCCAACTAGAGAGCAGTGAATTATCGATCGGATCAATGACGCATAAAACCCATGTGAGCAGTCTAGAGTCTTTTCGGTCTTGCTTCCTGCCTAGCCCAACCAGTTAAGTCCAAAACACCAATCTCAACCTCTGCAATATGGATCATTTATTTCAAACATACTGGGTTTATATACCAACCAAAACGGACCACATCGTACCATAAAATAGAAAATAACATTTGTAAAAGATTTAGCCAAAAGTCTCTGTGTGTGCGGGAGGTAGTAATTAATAGACAGGGCATAATTCAATAATGGTAAATCGTAGAATAATGGTTTATAGGCCATAATAAAGCTCATAATAAGAGGGACATGAATATTTATAGTTTAGTTGTTTAACAATTAGTGTCTTCGACACTACGGCGTGCCTCAGAAGATAGTCATTATCATACAGAATTCATATGATGGATTACACTGCAAAATCGTGCATGGAGGACAGTTGACAAAGTCATTCGTAGTGAAGACCGGTGTCAGGCAAGGTTGCTTACTCTCACCCTTTCTCTTCCTCCTGGTGATCGACTGCATCATGAAGATGTCAACGTCTGAAGGGAAGCATGGAATACAGTGGACATCCAGGATGCATTTGGACGATCTGGAATTCGCAGATGATCTGGCCCTCCTATCGCAAACGCAACAATAAATTCAGGAGAAGACGACCAGTGTAGCAGCAGTCTCAGCAGCAGTAGGTCTCAATATACACAAAGGGAAAAGTAAGATTCTCCGATACAACACAGAATGCACCAATCCAATCATAATTGACGAAGAAGATTTGGAAAATGTAAAAACCTTTACATATCTGGGCAATGTCATTGATGAACAGAGTGGATCTGATGCAGATGTGAAGGCGTGGATCGGCAAAGCGAGAGCAGCATATCCACCACTGAAGAACATCTGGAACTCAAAACAATTGTCAACCAACATCAAGGTCAGAATTTTCAATACAAATGTCAAGACAGTTCTACTATATGGAGCGGAAACTCGGATAATTTCGAAAGCCATCATCTAGCAGATACAAGTGTTTATTAACAATTGTCTACGCAAAATACTTCGAATCCGTCGGCCAGACACTATTAGCAACAACCAACTGTGGGAGAGAACAAACCAGATCCCAATGGAAAAGAAATCAAGAAGAAGCACTGGAAGTGGATAGGACACACATTGAGGAAAGCACTGAACTGCGTCACAGGACAAGCCCTCACATGGAATCCTGAAGGCCAAAGGAGGAGGGGAAGACCAGAGAACACATTACGCCGGGAAATGGAAATAGATATGAGAAAAATGAACAAAACTGGATAGAACTAGGAAGGAAGGCCCAGAACAGAGTGGGTTGTAGAATGCTGGTGGGCGGTCTATGCTCGATCAGGAGTAACAGGCGTAAGTAAGTAAGTAACTGTTCCATAAATGGATCCCAAAAGCCACTATTCATTATACTTACCGGGAAGTAACAAACACAGAGCCAGAAAGTTATTTTCACGAGTCAAGTTTAAGGAAGAGAATATTGTAGTAAATAAATACGAGAGAATGGATAGCCTTAATCAATTATAAGTAAATATAGCACTGAATGATGAATTAATACGGTAGAATACAAATCCGAAAAATAGAATATTTTCATTCGATCACTATTCAAGTGTAATTAAATAACGTGTAAAATGAATCAAAGCCGAAAAGTAGCTTTAAGAGTCATGTTCCTCGCTGCCAAGTTGATGCCACTCTATTTAGCACTATGACCAATAACAGACAAAAGAGGATAAATATCCATCATATTTTACCTCCAAATGCATACATCAATTTACATGTACATCCAAAAATGTGTACGCTGTAATAACAAAATAATAAAATTCTACTTGTTCCAGAAGTCAAATTCTGATAAACCTACGCCTGAGTGTATAAAATTGCTTACAAAGCTCAGTAGCACGCCATCTGTTAGATACAAGATCTAACGTGGATATATAAATTCATTCAAAGTTATCAACACAGTGACCGATTTCACGTCATTAAAATCTACAGAAGTCATAGCGTTCAGAAAGCTAAAACCTGATCTTTGTATTCAAAAAGATTACTTAGTTAGCCTTCGACTACCTTAGTAACGTTTTGAACTCTCTCTCTTATAATTACAATTTACCGAGTTGAACTCATATGTTCTCTTTTCTTTCCTAAATTTCCAAAATATCTTCATATTATGTAATAAAATTATTTTGACACTTTAGAGCCACTAGCTTGGGCTTCTATAAAAAAGTATCCTCTTTTTAATTCCTTAATTCATAACTTCTTTCATATTACACACAAATTATCATTAGTCAATAATTCAATTTTACCATTATGTCACCGAGTGGAAACAATTACACATATTATCTTATATGTAGTTGAAGAGAAACACAATACATTTATTGTATTCTGCTAATATTATCATTCTTCCATTGTTTAAATTTATGACGTAAAACAATTACATGAATAAGAATGGCTACTTAATGACAAAAAGTCGGGAGAATTTAAAGAGAATATCATAATGATTTAAGTTTAGCTGAATAAAATATTAGTGTTAAAAGAGTATTACAATTCAGTCTATATTTACAAACTTTGTATAGTGATAATGAAGGTTGAAATGTCATTTATTTCAAGCAAAAATCATAAATATTATGTGAATACCTTGAATATTCATTCTACAAAGTGTATGATTATGCTTATTTTCCATGTTAAGAACTCCTAATTTTACGAAACTATAAGCTTTCTAGAAATCTGTACATAACCTCTAAAAAACGTTGCTCCGTTCTTCGTTATTTATTAGTTTATACCATTAAACAATGATTGATTATACTTTATTAATGACATTTCATTAAATGATGGTATTTCTTCTGTTGTGACTTTATGTCCAGCTTTTTGTCACGTGATTTATCCATCAATCAAAATACGACTTATGGAATCTTAGCACTGTGCCAAACCAACGACGTTCGACCGGTATGATCAGCCTAGCGTCCTTATTGGTCCTATGTCCGCCTAGCCCGTCCACTTGGGTCCAGAACACCAATACCAGATCCCACCATGCGAATCATATATTTCAAGCATACTGTGTTTATATATCAAACAAACAGACTGAAACGCACCATAAAATAGGAAATAACATTTGTACACAATAAAGCCCAAAAGTGGCTGTGAACGTGGGAGACAGTAGTTAATAAACTGAACATAGCTTACGAACCGTAAATCGTACAATAATATATTATAGGTCAAAGTAAAGCTTATAACAAGGGGAATGTAGATATACATAATAATCTAGTCACCGAATATTTATACCATGAGAATATATAAATAATAATAATCCATTAATAAGTCTCAGACGTTACCCGTAATGTAATCTTCACTAGGATATAACATCTTCATCACTAGAAGTTAACGAAAAACCGTTACTATAATTAGATTTCTGAGATTCCAAGAAAATAAACCTGTTGGTTGAAGTTGAAATAACATGTGATATATTCGTAAATATTAACTAGTAGCCTATAAACTTAACTCCACTTGCTTGACTGTCTGAGAGTGAAATTATTATTATTATTATTATTATTATTAATGGCTTTATTCAATATTATATTTTGGTACGATTTAGAAATTCTCAGCACAGGGTATTTCAACAAGTTACTTACACAAAAAAAGAACAGAAACAAGATGGTGGAGAAGATTTGTAGCTCAGGTGGATGATTTTGGTGGAGTTTTGTTCTCTGAGCTGGATGGTTTGGTCGTGGAGCTTTCATCGTCCTTCTGAACGACATCATCAGCACAAACTTCAAATAGAAGTCCATTTGAAGCTCCACGACCAAACCATCCAGCTCAGAGAACAAAACTCCACCAAGACCAGGTTAACTCTAACAACCTATTCGTCACAGAGTATACTTGCCAGGTAAGGTATTATAGAACTTTTATACTTTTGCTTTCA